GAGGGAGGGAGGGAGAACAGGGGTCCGTTCTATTGCTGCCCGTAATGTTGCAATCCGCAGATGCTTTGCCTTTCCTCGAACCCACCTCCAGTACAGCCACTGCCCGGCGAAGAAGGCCGCGCCAAACAGGGGGATGAGGGGGCAGATCACGGCGAACGCGAAGCAGATCAGCGCGACAAGGCAGATGTTGCCACCGTACTCGATGCCGTACTGCGGTGAGCTGATCGAGTTCCGCATGAAGCTCGTCCTCTCTGGCACCCCATTGTCGTCAAATGTCTTGATCCAGCGCCGCAGCGCCATCCTGGGGTTTGGGTGTGCAGTGATGCACATGATTTTGGTGCGTTGCAGCAAGCACGCCAAAGCAGTGAGGGCAGTGCATAAACAAAGCGTGGCCTGAGTGCTTATCTGTGCGTATTACCTGATCCATGCTTGCCATACTCCCCCATGAGGAATCAAAAATCGCAAAGGGATGGACAAGAACGTGCGCAGTATCATGTAGGCGAAGAAGAATCTTGAAGACAGAAAAGGAGCATGCGTGGGAGGAGGGAATGACAATGACTGGGGTCAGGACGACGAACAACGAAGTAGAGCTTGCGACAGCAAATCAAGGTTGAGCATACAGCAGCTTTGCCGCAGCGGCTGCCATAACTCCAAACCACACCCACAAAACACATGGCTCCCCATAGCAGGCCGCTGATCTCACTTGGACGAGGCTGTGGTGCGTATGCGGGACGGGGATGAGGACATGGCACAGGGTAAGCGCAAATGGTGGGATTGAGCGGAAGCGTGAAGGACAAATGATTACAAGCAGGGAACGCAGATCATGCAATCGGCATTGCAGCTGATAGCAATCGGCATTGCAGCTGATTGCAATCGGCATTGCAGCTGATTGCATGATGTACCAAGCCAATACCTGGCAGGAAATAGCCCAGGGTCTCTGGGGTGTGGAGAGGGTCATTGACCAGCTTTGGCACCTGAGGTGCAGTTCAGCCAGCAGATGCTGTGTTATCAGCGGCAGTGAGGCCACGTGCAGTCTCGGCCTGCTCTGTGACCAAGGTTGCCGTTGTGGTATGCATCGACTGCATCAGCCTCCTTTCATCACCTTCCCACCCCTGCCATCGGCCTGCCTCCTCCACCCCGAGCACCCGCACCCACCGTCTTTGTGAGCGCTGTGCCTATGCTGCCGACGACACCTCCCACAAAGAAGTTGAGGCCAGACCACAGGCTGCAGAGGTGCAAACAAGGGTTTGAGGGTAGGTAATAAGTGATGCTTTGACTATCAGGTGGGTTGAAGGGGACTATCAAGCTGCACACTTCATGGGGTCCACACCCTCCCGAGGCCGCCTCTCTCGCCCAGCCGCCTTACAAGTAGATGGCCCCCATGCGGCGGTCCAGCCCGCTGAGCGAGTAGTGGCGAGCCTCAGACTGCGCGGCGAAGAACACGCAGCATGGCATGAGCAGGCCCTGCCACAGCTGGATGAGAAGCGCCGGCACAAAGCCCGTGAGCATCGAACGCAGGACATTGTGGACAGGGTGCGAGCTGGCGCAGTAGTCTTTCCAGCGCCTTTGAAGGGTCAAAGTTGGGTGGCAAAGTAGAGAAGGGGCGCGTCGATTCCGGGGGTCATGAACCCCTGAGCATCAACGAGCTGCTCTATGAACATGAACGGCGATTAGAGCTGCACCAAAAGGGGTATTTCCGCCAGACATGACACTGCAAAGCAGGGGCCGACATCTCTCACAAGCGGTAGCCCTCATCGCAGATAGCATCGTTGAGCTGAGTCATTGCGGATGTCAGCATGCTGACGGGCAGCAGCACCAGCAGTATGATGAAGGGCGTCACCATCAAGCCACGGAAGACGCGCTGGGCGTGGGTGAACCACAGGGCCTGTCAAGGTGAGGTGCACATGTGACGATAAGCAATGCTGTCACACCTGTGAGCATCAGATGCCACAACTGGCGCAATGGCAAGCTGGCTCTTCACGCTCTTAGCATTCATCCCCTTCCTTGCCGATGTGCTTTGAGGGTCTTCTTGTCAGTTCCTGACCTCCCAGTTGACCTCTTCCGGGCCCGGGGCTGGGTGCACCTGGGATGCATGCGTGGGAGTGGGGCGTACTGTGTGCAGAAGCTCGGATCGACGCTTGCCTGTGACCCCTCTGTGACGCTCACCCCTCTGTGACGCTCAGCGCCAGCTGACTTGGTCAACTCACCTTGAACAGCTCCTTTTTAAGGGGATGAATGTTGCAAGATGCAGCGATGGCCGCCGCCCTTTGAGTCCTGAGATACAAGAGGCAGGAAGGCTGTCTTCAGCCGTTCTCATTTCACTGATGAAGACGTAATGGACTTGCCAATTTTAGATTGCCATGCGCGCGCTGGCAACGCCAAGGGGCCCAACTGTGATGCGGCAGGCAAGCAAAGCGCAAACTGCACCCCTCTGCACCTGAACAGTACAAAGAAGGAGGGTGTGCAATTGAAGATGAGAGCCCTGTCGCGCGCCTCCAGCACGGCACGTTCCAGGCGTGCCACCTCCCCCTTGAGCCACTCGATTCTGTCCACCCTGCACTTCCAGCCACTGGGCTTGATGGCTTTGGGAGGGTCACCCAGCCGCACCGCGTGCTCCGCCAGCTCAAGCTCACCCATCCGATTGTCCCTGTGTTTGGTGGGGCAGGTGAGACTCAATGGGGAGCATATCAGTCGCCGGAAACATGTGGGCGCGCGATTGTGGCGGCTGCGCCTGGATGCTCCCGGGTGTCGCAACCTGCAACTAGCCCTTTGTGAAACGGGGCTGCTGACAGTGAAAGACTTTCGACCCCGCAGTCAGCAAGGGCGAGAGCGCATGGGTGGCTGCAGCTGGCCGTGCACTGCAGGGCCTGGCAGGTAGGTGACTGCCGCGTCAATATTGCTGTGAGCTGGTTGCTCACCATTCGCGCATCAGCAGGTCAGCTTCCCGGAAGTTGAACACGGGCACCACCTGGGGGCAAGGAAGAAAAAAAAATGAATGCTCAGGTCAAATCTAGTGGACTGGCAGGGCGGCGCCTGACGGAATTAGGCAGATGTTGGACACATTAGCAGACAGCAACAATTTCTGCTGCTGCCTTCAACTGATGGCGTCAAATCCACGCACCCGATCAAAGTCGTCCGGAAAGAGCTGTGAGGGTTTTGCAAGGGGACAGGTGTTTGGATGAGTTGGGTCAGAGGATGTTAGCGCCGGATTGCGTGCTGGACTGAGCGAGAGGGATACAATTAAAGCTTGGAAGATTGTCACGAACGAGGAACCAGGGATGATGATAACAATGTTGGCAAGGCCAAACGATAATTGCACTTGCTATCGGTGGAAGCCTCACCGCGGAGAAGACAGCTGAGACGACGGAGTACTGCTCACTGACACCCAAACTGTGCAGCCGCCCGTCCGCCATGGCCGCACGCGCCCTACCCCACAGCTCTGCCGCCCGTCCAGAGGAGTTCACCACAGACGGGAGTGGCGGCGATGGCGGGGATCTGGGAGACTCATCCAGCAGGCTGCCAGGTGCAGAGCCCAATGTCGGGGAGTGCCTCAGCACCGCACCTTCCTCGACACGGGCCTCAGCCATGTCCAGCGAGGCCACCGCTCCCACGCCCTGGTGTGAAGCCACAAACTCGCCCAGGGTGCTGGCAGCGTTGAGCGCCCCGACACTCGCACCGGGTGGTGTCGCCGCCGGCTGGGGCGGCATGGTTGTGTTTGCGTTGGCCGCCTCTGCCATGGCGGGCAGTAGGTGGACGACATGCAGTAGGTGGACAATTTGACAGAAAGCAAGATTTGAGCGGAGATGTTGTGTTCCCGTTGGAGATAGCGCGCTTCATCCGTTGCCCCGTGGGATTTGTGTCGTCAAGACAAGACCAAAGATACCTGTGCCACTCTGCGTCCCATCTGTCGTTTTTGTTTTGGCACGAGAAACGCACAAGCTCGATCAAACCGCCACACCAAACCCGGGCACCAATAATATTGCTGTGCAGCTGCTACTTGCGCACCCTGTGCAAGGCGCTGGTGCCTGAGGCCCGTCCAGCCGCCATCGTTGCTGTAATGGAATTTAGCCTTGCCCCACGCACCCGCTCCTAGTGGGGGGCTGCAGGTGCACAAATGTTGCGGAAGTCATTCGTTGTCGCCTCAGCAACAACCATGGGCGGTCTTGCTTGCAAGCTGCATGCCTGCATAAAATCAGGTGTCCTGCCCGAACGTGCGGCAAGTCTGAGCCCCTGTTGTACTACTGCTCACCAATCGCCTGTGAATTCCGGGTAGACGGGCTGGGTGACGTTGGTCACCAGCACCGCATAAGACTGGGCGCGCACCGCTAACGGGCGGCCAGTGTGGTCTGCAGTGTTGATAGTCTGGCGGTAGCGCACGCTGGGCTGCACGAAAAATGGGTCATGAATGAGATAGCATAGTTAATCAGGGTGTTGGTCCTCCTGGGGAAGGGTAGAATGCACTGGTCTGCTTGCTTGAGCAGGGACACCGCTGAAAGATGTCGCAATTCGTACATACATGTGGAGCAGTGCGTGCTTCCCCCAACGCAAAGCTAGCCTGATGCGAGTGACACACCTTGGCCAGCATGACGTTATTCCCCTGGTACCGGTGCATCTCCTCATCCGTTAGCTTCCTCAGCTTGCCTTCCTCTGTCGTCACGACGCTAACCTGAGGGGAGGCGCGTGGAGCACAGGCAGTGGAAGCCTTGTCGTGTTCAGCAGGTGCGAAACTTGCTCTTGCTCAGCAGGTGTGGCAATGGGCAACAAAGTTCTGGCTGCTCGTCCTGCATTGTGTTTACGCGTGCAAATTCATGGCACCTTGACAAGCAATTCACATGTGGTGCACCTTGAGGAAAAAAAGGCCAAACAATGCTGCCATGTTTCGGCGCACAAGGTGGGTAGGAGATTATGCAAGGCGTCCCTCACCGTGCTCCACCACTTAGGCGCCGCCATGCCAGACACCTCCTCCAGCCGGGGGCACTGCTGTGCTGTGCTGCCAGAGGGCTGGTCCATGACAGCCGCGTCGTCGTGACTCATAGGTTGTGCACTTGGGCTGCCGCTGCTCGTCACAGGCACCTGGTCTTCCGCCTTGCTGATTGTCATGCCTGCCACCTGCTGCTGGTCCTCCTGTGCCACCTGCTTGCTCTCCAATGTGTTGACCCGCGATGACCACCCACGCTCACTGCTGGCCGCAGGCCACTGAGCCACTTGTCGCTGGCTCTCCCCCACCACCAGCAACAGCTCCTGCTGCTGCTGCTGCTGCTGCTGCAATTGGCTGTCCTGTCTGTCTTGCTGCGCCCTGCCCTGCTGCTCTGGAGCCCCCGACTCCGTGCGCACCCCCTCCAGCATCATCCCTGCAGACAGTGGGGATGCCCTGGCTCCGGCCCGGCCGCTCATTGTGTGCTCAAAGCGGCTGCTGAGCTGGTGGTGACCGTGGGATTGGTGGCCACCGACAGCACCGCTGGCCTGCTGCACGGATGACGCATGGCTGCGTAGGCTGCGGATGATATCGCTGTTGGCGTCCTGTGCTGTCAGTTCCTCCGCTAACTGCACCACGTCCTCTGCAGTGCCGGAACCTTGGGTCAAATGGAGGGGATGGAAGGCGACAACCTTGTGCTGTCTAAAACTTGAAGGCATGTGTGCCATTCCAGTCAAGAATGCCATGGCCCACATTTTCAAGGCCCCATTTGAGCCTCTTGCCTAATCAACTTTGTCACCCTGGCCACCACCCCACCTCACCCGACCCCACCCCATGCCAAACCCCACCTGTCCAGGACGTGATCCACGCCATTTTCTTGCGCCACCAGTTGACACGGGGTCGGGTATAGCCCAACTCCAGGTTCTTTTGTGGGGGGGGGGGGGTGTTCAGGGGTATGAGCCTACTTGTGATGTACACCACCCAAACAACCCCGTTGGTGTGGTCTAAACCTGATGCTTTTGAGTTCCACGCATGCGGGGCGTGCGCAGACAGTGATTGCGTTCAAGCGTGCATGCATACATCTACCCGGGTGGTTGGAGCGACACGCACGTTCAGGATGGCGTCCACGTGTGCGGTCTCAACAACGCGTGCGAACTTTGAGTGGTGCTGGATGCTGACGCCATCGGCCTCTGCCATGTGGAGCTCTGGCAGAAATGATGCGATGGGGGAGGAAGGGGAGGAACTTGCGTGCAGGAAACGCTGCAGCACGATTACTAGCAAGTGCAAAGCGCTACAAACTGTAATAGACGGCAGTGCAGAACCTTTTACCACCAAGTAAAGCCTGCACTCACCTCTCCAATAATTGTACCCATCAACACCACGCAAGTAGAATTGCCTGTGGTTCAGCGGCGGCACAGGGCTGGGGTGAGCCTGACGGCGACGACGGCCAGGCAAGCAGGCTGAGCAAACTTCTGCCCTGCACCTGTGGCAGCAACCACACTTGCCAACACGCACGCACGCACGCACGCACGCACGCACGCACGCACGCACGCACGCACGCACGCACGCACGCACGCACGCATCCACGCACGCACACACCCACGCTCGCGCGCACGCACGCATCAGCTACACAGGTAAACACTGCACATGTAGGACGCACGCGTGCATAAGAACAAAGACACACATACGCACAGGGCTCACCGCAGGGAGACGTACTCCTGGAAGTGCCTAAGGCACCCAACCAGGGAGGCAGGGGCGTCAAGAAACAGATGGTGATTGGAATGCATCCGGATGCAGGGTTTGCGCTAGAGATCAGAGTGGCGGTACAAGTGCAGCATTGTAAAGGTGCAACTAGTTGTGAAAGCTTCGAAAGCGCACCAATCCAGGAGAAGCATCGTCCAGCCCAAAAAAAGCAGCACACAAACCCTGCAAGTTTGCGGTTGTATAGAAATGAAAATTGTTTGGATATTGGCGTGCAAAACACCCACATGGATTATCCACGGACAGCAGCTACGCCAGAATGTGACTGTGTGCATAATAAACATGTGATGTGCAACGCTTGCCGAACCCCAAACCGTGTCAACCCCAAACTCGCACCCAAAGCGCATAGCACCGCACCAGTGAGCCCAGAGGACGATTGAGTGTGGACCGATGTTGGCCATGGTCAAACGGCTGAAGGTGGCGTCGCCGTTCTCGGAAGCCTTGGCTAGCTGCAGCGGCATCACTGTCGTGGATTGTTGGTGGACAGGACCCCATGACAAGGCCAGATGACACAATTCAGATGGGCTTCACACATTCTAGCAACATGCATCATCACTATGTCAGAGGCAACCTGCAAACATTGATGCGGCTGTGCGCTTGTGCTGCCACATTGTATGCGCCCGTCGAGCGCACGCCCTTGACATCCCAGACCCCCGCTTGCATGGATCTGAGAGGCCCTTGCCTGTGAGACGTACTCACGCATGCAGCAGCCCAGGATGGCCACAGGCAAGAATATCTGGATGCCCAGGGCGTGGCTCTTTTGCAACACCAGCGCGTCCAGCCCCGCACTGTGCAGCAGCCACACGTCTGAGGTGCAGATCACTACTTTGAGCCAAGAAAACGCGCCCCAAACGCCGTTCACAGGCACCACTGGTGGCTTCATGGTCACATGCTTGAGCACCTGGAGCAATCAATGAGGGTTGTTGAGGTGGTGTGAGGGTTTGCAGGGCCGTTGGATACGCGAGCTCGCACCCTTCACAACCACTCAGGTGATTTCAGCTGGTACCCTGGCAGGCGGTGAGCGTGCTGCGTGGTCGTCTCGTATCTGTACGTTGCGGCCCAATGTTGAATCAGTTTGGTACGAGATGCATTGCCTCAATCGCCAACCCACCATCCGCAGGTGATACTCTCTTGTGAAGGTGCGGGCAACCAGGAACCCTAGTATGCAGGCAGCCCCAATAAGCGAGTTGATGATCTGCACCATGGAGGTTGGCCAGCAGAGTTGAATGCACCTTCAATACTGCCGCTAGAGCAAAAGTACACCGTAATACATGATCAGCAACACAACTCAGCTTGTGCGCAAGCCAAGGAGGGTACGTGATGCGAACGCTCTCTAGCAACGAGGCGGTGCCCATCGTGCCCCTGCGCGCTGTTGCAATTTGCGCACCAGGGCCACAAAGATGGAGCTGGTCGTGTTGTCATACGCCGGATCATTTAGTGGGAATTCGACTAGCGGCGACGATAGATCGGAGGCGCGCGCCATCGCAACCCTCTCCAACCAGTGGGCGTGCCGCGCACTCCAAGATAGCTCTTGCCGGTTCCCCTGGGAGCGCTTGTGCGCCGCTTTTATGCCTTCCTCTTGACGAGTGGAGGCCTCACAGGACCGGCATGTGATGCGGATCACCCGACAGAGCACGCGCCACCGAGGTCGCTGCCACTGAACTGAGTGTGCGGATGTTACACCGAGGCCGAGAGGGCTGTCATCCTGTCATTTCTAGAAGTCGATTTCAGTGCGCGACACGAGTCGACCATCACCATCGCTTAGTCAGAGGTGACTCCGAGTCTGTGTAATACTGTACAGCTGATGAAACTTATAGCGTCGCGAGGAAGCATCTCCCGGAACTTACTTATATGTTGAAGCTTGGTGATGACCGTACTGGCACATGCGTCGCGGGGTCGCTGTGCCGCCGCCGAGCTGCACACGGTACGCCTGTTGTCAAAGCTGCCGCTCCATCATAACACCTCTCAGCCGCCGGGAGGAGCGCAGGTCGACGGGAGGATAGAAAAAGCCACGCGCCTCCTGCGCATTCCCCACAAGTGAGACATGCCCTGCGTGCTTTATTTCGCTTGAAACACGCACGTCACCAGTCTAAATGCACCATACAGCTGGCGAAGCTTGTTCCTTCGCTGATGTTTGTTTATGGTTCTGCAGGGCCACGGCCAGGTGGACATAGGATGCAGATAATTACAGCATCACCGTAGGAAGTATGTGCTAGCAGAGTGATTCGGAAGATAATAACTTTTGTGCACGGCAAAGCAAAACATGTGCGATGCACGCCGCATGCACACAGTGAAGGGGGTACGTGCATGTTGGCCGAGGGTCAAAGCAGCCGCGCTGTGCAGGTGAAAGCTCTAGCAGCAAAAGGTGACGCCCTATATCTGCCGGCATCACATCACAAAATGGCATGCTGTTGGAAAATCAAAGCAGCTCTTGTATGTTGTGTGGCCTCCTGATGATGCCGTCAAAGCGCGCCTCACGCAACCAATGCTCGCGAGGGCGGGCGGAGGATGTGGTCTGTGACATGTTCAGACCCTGCTGCCCTACAGCCTGGTCAGCTTCTTCTTGGCGCACGCCTGTGGTCCAGTCCCGCACTCATGTGTACATTTGCGCCAGTTGGCATGGCCTGCCTTCTCAGAGCAGCATAGCAGCCAGCAGCACTGCGACTGCACCGCTGGCCAAAGCGGGAGTAGCACTGCTTGCGGTTGAGGCTGTGGGTTTGGTGGTGTTTGGGACGGCGCCGGGGATGTTCGTGGTGTTGACCAGCGCAGCGCTGATGGTCATGGGCAGCGGGGCGGGCTTGGGTGCCGCCACCGCCGGCTTCACAGCAGCCTGTTGGTGCCAGCCAAGTGGGAGGCATCAGGCTGTTAGTACATTCCACAGCAGCACTACTAGGGTGGTGTGCAGCTGTTCTGGCCTCAAACCAGGAGCCACGCCGCGTTCTCACGTAAGCATTGGTACCCCTGCGATTGGGATCTAATTGCTTCCCGTCTCTGCCTGAGATGCCTGCTTGAACCTGATGACCTCGGACCCCACCTTGCGACCAAGAAAGTTGCAGGGCAAAGGAACGGCGTTGACGTGATAGATGGCACCATCGCAGCCGTAGGTGATAGAACTGACCGCGATGCCTGCGGGCAGGCGCATGTCCATGGCCGCACCATCCACCAGCATGACGGGGCCCGCCACGATAGCGGCGCCCTTCTTCTTGCGGGCCGCAGAGGACGAGAAAGTAGTGGGCAGCAGCAAGCTGTCGGCGCTGGTGGGAAGCTTGGTCTGGGCCAGGCGGCGCGCGCCAGTCAGCAGCGAGGCTGTGCCAGTGCCAGGGATGGCCGCTGCACCGACTGGTGGCACGCCCACAGTGGGCGCAGTTGTTGTCGTAGGGTATCCAGATCCAGCAGTCAGGGTCGTTGAGGTTGTAGCCTGCACCAATCCAGGGCCAGCAGCACGATCAGCAGGACTGGCGGGTGCTGCCCCAGCGGAGTCGGGCGCCAGGTCCACAGCAGGCACAGCTGCAGGGGCGGGCGTAACATCAACGGCAGACGCAATCGAGGGAGTATCGGCGGTGGCTGCGGCAGGTGTGCCTTGGTCGTAAGCAAATACGAGTGAGGCGTTGCTGGGGCGGGGGCAAATTGCCTTGATGTCCTTTGGGCTGAGGGATAGGGCGGTCTTGACAGGGGTGGCATCATCGATGACATCAGCCACCTCAGCGCCTGTGTAAAGGTAAGACACGAGGGCGCCCAGCTGCGCGTCTGTGAGTGTTGAGTTGGCGGTGGACTGGGCCTCATCCATCAGCGCCTGCCAGGCCGACTCCGTGGGTAGGACGAACGTGGAGTGCACACCACTGGTGGCCTGCGAATAGTGGAGCGGGCGCGGTGCTTAGAGTCAGCGTGAAAACAGCATACAAGAGAAGAGTGCCACAATCATATGGTATTTTAGCTGCCACTTGACTAGTTAAACGTTTAGCAGCTGTTTGTGCTGCAAAGCACAAACAGCAGCGACTGCACAACTGCAGTAGTAGTGCCCAAAACCAAGCGCTGTCAATGGGCATGTTCGCGCCATCCCACCACCACCCTCTCGTATGCCTCCACCTTAAGTTGGGCCTTGAGGAAGCTGATAGCCCTGTATGTCATGCTGCCCTTGACAGCACGCATCCCGCCCAGCAGCTCAGCCATGGGCTTGCAGCAGGGCTGAAGCAGAGAGTCGATCTGAAATATCACCGCAGCACACCCGCGATCATATGTGCCTGACACCTTGGCGGCACCTGCGCCGCCTGTGGGGGATGAGGAATTGAAGAGTGGTGGGCTGAAATTATGCTTTGTCATCGGCATAGCGTGCTATTGTGCGCGAAGGTGCTGCGGGAAGAGGCTTGCATTACCAAGGCCTTCCACTGGCATTAGGGACCACCCACCGTAGATAAAGCCGTCGGGGCGCCAGCTGAGGGCGGGGTTGGCGCACGATGCCTTTCCCTGGTCTGTGAGCATGGTGCTCATGGTCAGGGTAGGGGCTCCGGGGGCTGTGAGAGCCACCTGAGCCACAGTATGGTAAGCCACCACGCCAGCCAAGAAGGGTTTCCTGGTGGCAAACATCTCTGGATAGTCAAGGGCGCCGCTCTCGTAGGCATCTTGGATAGCCGCGTCAGTGGGAGCAAATATTGTGAAATTCCTGGTGCATGTATTGGAGAAATTGGCATGGGACATTGTTGCATTAGTGAAAACGCGTGTACAACTCCAATCCAGTTCAAATCAACCCGATTCCCTATGTGAATCGCATGCCTGCAAGCAGGCTGAGATGCAAGCCATGTGTTAATTCATGAAGTCTGATGCAAAGCCACAGATGGTGCTTCGGATGTACGAGGGTTCAGATAGCCATGTCAAGTTGTTCACCTGACGCTGGCAAAGATGGGCCTGTTGACGCCTGTGGCCAGCAATAATGCATTGTAGTAGCTGAGGCCGTTGCGCTGCAGTACGCCCTCCACATTGTTCTTGCAAGGAGAAGGCACATTGGCAATCTGCGGGGTCCAATGTTTGTGTTGGCCCGGTGTGTGCAAAAGAAGCGTTGTAAGGGGGGGATGGCAACCGCGCGGCTGCTCGAAATGCAGAGTTGCTTCAGGTGCTGCGATTCCAGCAGCTGGTATCCTTGGCACAAGCTGCTACCACCACCACCACCACCACCACCACCATGCGTCAAAGTCGCACAGCACCATGCATGGCTATTCAGCAGCAAGTGGCGCGAGCTAAGCAAAGCGGCTTGCGTCATTGATCACGCTCGGCCGCTGCTGACTCACCTCTCCCATAATGGCGCTGACATCAGAGCAGGGCAGCAGCACCTGGTCGACCAAAAAGGCCTCTCCCCCACAGTAGCTGATGGGCTGGCTCACGATGGTTGCGTTGCCGGTGCCATGCTGGAGCAGGATGGCCTGGGGAGTCTTCTTCACCACCACGCGGTTGTTGGGCAGGCCCGGGCCCACGCTGCACTGCAAGGTGGACGCTGTGTCACTGCATGATAGGAGTGGGTGCAGTGAGGTGGTATGAGGCCGCGAGAGCAGCCAGGAACGCGCGCTGCTTGCTTCCAGGTTGCTGCTGGGCGATGAGATGCACAAAGTGTGCCGCCAGCACAGGCAGCAACGGAGCGGTATTGACTTTTTAGTGGACCAAAAACCGCCACAAATGCTTATGCCCACAGGATGCACAACCACCAATCCGCGCAACGTTGTGCCACCAGCGCGTCACTCACAAAGCAAACTTGTTGGCGCCTGGCGTCGGCGTGGCGATCGGCACGTCGACGTCCTGAGCTATGTGGTATAGCATCACCTGGCCGTAACGCGCCACCATGGCCGGTGCCTCAGGGTTACCCTGTCGCTGTCGGACTGTGGCAAAGAAGTTGTCCCACGCTGTGGCCGTGGGCACAAAAAAGGTTCCCTTGAGGGCGGGGGAGTTGAGGATTTCCTGGAACACGGGGTGCATCGGCAGGTTGGGGTTCTGCGACGCAATCAGGTCCAGGGGGGTCTTGCAGCCGGCACCCTTCTTCGCCGCAACTGTCGACGAGTCATCGGCACGCACGCATGCTGCGGTGCGGTGGCAAGGGAGAGGCAAAGTGGGGCGACGACGTGGCATGTGCGCGGTACAAGAGTGGGGGTGCAGCGAATGGGTGTTGAGCTGAAGGATTTAGACAGGGGCGGTTTGCCGTGCGTCCACCCCTTCATGCGCGTTGTGTCATGGCTGCTGCACGATATACGAAGCTGGATCTGACTGATGCGCGGCGAGCCGTGCCGTTTGCTTTCTCGGCTGGTACAGACGTTGTGCGCTGCGCAGCGCCTCCGCTGGACCCGCTGCCGGTTACGCACGGGTGACTGCCACAGCCACGCCTGCTCCATGCCGGCGAGTGTCCACAATTAATCTAACTCTAATCCTTTGCGCGTGCCCTGAACGCGGTATCAGCTTGCGCGAGGTGCGAACTGGACAGGTACAGGGGAGCTGGCCGCGCACGACGCCGCTTCAACGGTTATCTTTGCCTATAAAACGCACCTGATATCACCAAGATAATCAGAGCGCTAGACACAAGCCTCATTGTGGCACGCCAGACACCTGCCACCTGCAGAAAGGCAAACTGGTGCCCTCCTTGGCCGACAATAAGAAGCAACTCAACTCAATTGGGTTGTGCACATCGATGCTGCAAAGTTGTAAGCCAAATGTTCTGCGGTCAACCAGCGAACCGCTTGGCGCGACTCCGAACGACCGTTGCTCCTCTGCCCTCGCCGGTCGTCGCCAAACGCTCACCCTGACGGTGTCACAGCACATACATCCATGAAATTATGATATTTTTGCGTGCAGCCATTGCAGAACTGCGAAAACGTCTGGTCCAACGTCATCACTCATTACATGTGGCTGCATTGCGCGCCGGCGAAGCTGTGCCGAGGCCGGCCCGCAGGTGAGCAGGCACAGCTCCCTTACCGGCAGCTGCGCAGTCGCGCCAGGGCGGTGCAGGAGCGCACGCAGGCTTGGCACAGCATCTTTCTTTTTAGGTTTGGGGTGGGGGGCGCAGGCGCATGCCCGGTCAAGACAGCGGCGTGACACACGGGCTGGTGGCTGCAGGAGCACACAACCGCAGCAGGCAGCACACCGCCACAGCACAGTGCTACAGGGCAGCCACGGCTAGCTGGCGGCGCGCAGCAGGACACGGCTACCCTCCCTGTATGTGCGATCTGGTTCTTGCCCGGCAGCGGTATTTTGTCCCAGCTCCCTTCCCAGCTGCTCTAATCCAAAGAAGAAATAGATAGATAGATAGATAGATAGATAGATAGATAGATAGATAGATAGATAGATAGATAGATAGATAGATAGATAAGTTACTCATGCCATAGCATCACTGCCATCGGCCCCGCGCTCATCAGAGCGGACCTCCTCATTCCTAACATTCCAACGGATCTGCCAGCAAGCATACACATAAGGGGCAACAATATCAGCAAGCACAGAGCCACCAAGAAAATCAAAATCAAGCAACTTGTAAGCTTTCTCTTCATTCTGCATCTGCTGCATCATCTGCCAACATTCGGGCGCCATTTCGTCCTCCAGACGCCGCCACAGCTCTCCACGCACTAATTCGTACTTGGGGCAGTCCAATAGAAAATGAGACACTGATTCAATTCCAGTTGAGCAGACAGGGCAGCAATAGTGAGAAGTATCACAGGGG